AACTAGAGCTTGGGAGGGGGCGGCCCGCGGGCTGTAAAGACATCCTATGAGCTGGACTTTTAACTGACTTAGAAGATGAGTAGCAAAATTTGGCACCTTTCAAATTTTGATCAGATACTTAGGTCTCTTTACAAACAGGTTCACGTTTTTATAGATCGGATTTTATTTGTGAGTCTTAACAAAACTAAGATGGTATCTCGGCTTGTAACTGTTTGAATTTCCTCTATTTAGCTTTCGCCAGTCAAAACAAGTGGTGGATCCCTGGTCCGTAACTACTTACTGAGCAACTGTTGAATCAATGTTTTGCTTTCTTTTCAGCAGGTCGGCTGACTAACGTCCAAGCGGCCTTCACTTGCCATTCATCTTGAAAGTGGAGCGAGGAGAAACTCAGACTGAAGTCAGACCTACAAAGGACCCAGCGTTTCCTTTGAAGCATGGGACCCTCACAGAGGGAGCTGGCAAAAGATAGATTAAGCAAGGAGAACAAGCAAGAATGGTCTTTCTGCCCAAGTGGAGCAGTGCTGGGGACCAGGCAAGCAGCTCAGTGCTGAGACCGTTCTGCTGCCAATGGTCCCCCACAAGTAGCAGATAGATGGGCCGTGGAGCAGCTTGAGGTCTCCTGAACTACTAGGAAGTGCTTATCTTGAAGTGTTTATCTTGAAATAGCATCAGTCCTACTTCCTACCAGTGTCTAGTATTCCCAAGCCATCCTAAGACTCAAAGTGTAGAAGGAAACAAAAACAAAAAACTTCTTTAGAGTCTCTGCCACTATGCAGTGCTTGTCACAGCTGGCCCTCGCTCACTCTTCAGCACAGCCTACAAGGTAAGAAATACCATCCTCATGTTTCAGAGAAGGCAACTGACCCTCAGAAAGGTTAAATAATTTCCCAGAAGTTACACAGAAGAGAGACACAAAACTGAAACTCAAACACGGATCTTCCCAAATTAAAGCCACGTTTTGTTTACTGACTGCTATCCCATCCGATTCAGGCTTCCAAAGTTACTTGGTAAGATCATCCACAGTAGAGTGGCGGACTCCGACAGGCGGCCAGAGAGCTGAAGAAGGCTTAAAGAATCAGGTGCTGTTCCTGACAGGGATGGGAGAGGCCCCTAAGGCAGCCCCATGCGCACAGCTCCTCTGGAGTCTGTATGTTTTGATTTCTGCAAGCATGTGCCAAGACTTCCAGTAAGTCACTGATTCTCCCTGTATCCTCAAACCTTCTAGAAATAGTGGGACTAGTCACCTACCTGTGCTTTCTAGTGTGAAATTGTTCCTGTGATACTACAAAAACTTGTTATACTCAGAAAAAAACAATTCCTCAGGAAAGAACTCCAAAGAATTCACATTCTTATCATGTTGCCCTGACTGACAAGAGTATTCCTGTTTATTCTGATTTTTTTTCCTTACAGACAACATGGTAGAACTGAACTGTATGTCTTGTGTGGGGATATATCTTGCCTTAAACAAGGCATGCAGTGGCAAGTGCCTCTTCTGGATAAAAGACTGAAAAGCCAGCACAGATTGTTCCATCTGGACAACTTGCAGCAGTGACGCAGGAGACCATGTTGAAACTGAACCTCCATCACCCTGAGTCCTCCAGTTTCTTGCTGGATCACAGTGGACACTCAGCGGGAGCAGAAAATCCGAGCTATCTGGGGTACTTTGTTACTGTACCATAACTTCATCTCACTGACAGATACAAATCAAATAGTAGGCCTATTTCTGGATAGAAAACACAGGAAATCATTCAGAAAATAAATAGATTGAATGAAGAATATCTACTTAAAATTTGAGAACTCTAAAATTTTTCGATTTTGGGGGGAGGGGATGTATTAGTGTGCTAGAGAGATATCATTTTTTCTGAATAGGAAAATCCAAAATGCCATGTTCTATTACAACAATATAAAGTCTTTTTAAAGAATTAATTCGAAAGGCTGGAGGGGTGGTTGTTGGCAGAGGCAATTGCACCAGGACCCAAGTGACTCCTGCAAGTTGGCCTCTGACTTTCACACACATGCTTATCATGGCAGATGCAAGCCCCCAACACACACACACACACACACACACACACACACACATAAAATAAACAAAACCTGTTGTGATTTAAAAAAAAACAATTGATTTAAAATTGGGAAAAAAATTGCCTTTAACAAATACTTTAAACTTCCCTAATCTATTTGTAGCCCAGTGGGGAAAACCCTTTGCTAAATTATCTGCAGTCCAGCTCCCAAGTGGATTTGCTTGGAGGTTTTCATTCCCCTTAGTTGTCTGTGGTTATTCACTGACACAGTCATAGCTAGCAGCACCTTGAAGAGGGAAGGCTTTAACCCGTTAGACAGTGGACATTGGGCATTAAAGATCCCAGCAGTGACTGACATCTGCATAAGCCAGTAATAAAGAGCAGGACGTTAGAAAAGAGAAAAGGCGGGACTTCCTTTTCCCTTGGCAAATCACTCTTCATCGCCCATCAGGCCAGATGAGTAAGGAACACACTGCAGCTTCCCCCTTAAACAGTTTACGTAAACTTCAGTTTTGCTTGTGAGGAAAACAAGTGCTCCTCTAACAGGCTTGCCTCCAAAAGGCTTTATTCTCCCCTCACTCCTCTGAGCTCCATGTCCCCAGGACCATTGAGGTTTCCACATAGCTATGCAGTGACATGCCATCACAAATGGCCTAATGGAGCAGAGAGAACTTTATAAGCATTTTCAGAGATGTGGGAAGGAAACTGAAACAACATCCCATCCCACACCTCTGAGGTTATATTTTTACTCTTTTTAGTATTTAAAATACGTCACAGTTAAGATTCTTGATTAATTATGTAGGAACACATGCTTACAGAGGTAACTACCTGCACAGATACACACTGACACAGAAAGTGTGTATGGAGCTAAGCTCAGATAGAAAAGTGTGTGGCGGCAGCAAGCCTCGGGACTAAGTTCAGACAGGAGGATAGACTGGTCACTGTGGTGCTGTGTTGGAAAGTCTTGACTCTGTGCTCCTTCTGTCCCAGGCAAGTTCTCCACCTTTCTTATAGAACAAGGAGATGGTGGCAGATGCTCACAGATGTCCCTTCTTGTTCGTCCATCCAGGTATCCATTCCTGAAGCCACTCTCAGTCTTTAAATGTAATTGAATAGACAAAACATCTGTGTAGCTAGTATTCTGAGCAGATAACAGTATATCAGCCAACAGCAAAAGGGAGAAACTCAACCACAGAAGAGCTAAGAATGTTTCTTCACTGGTAGAGAGCTTGTCTAGGATGCATGAGGTCCTGGGTTCAGTTCCCAGCACTATATAAAGTGCATAGTAGACAGCCTGTAACTCAACACTTGAGAGATGAAAACAGGTTAGAATTCTGTGCCATTCTTGGTTATGTGATGAGTTCAAAGCCAGCCTGGTCTCTATGAAATCCTGTCAAAGAACAGAAGGAAAGGGAAGGAAATGAAGAGCTCCAAGTAGCAGAATGGGGGCACTTCAAGAGGGTTCTCTTCTCCCCAAGACTTAAAAGACATTATTGCTGTCATTTTTATGACTTTATGCATCGATAAAAAGTTAAATAAGTATTATATAACATGGATGAGCATGTTAACCATTACCTCAGAAAGGATCAATATGTAACACAAACCCCTCCCTTATCTCTACAGGTACAAAGCATCTACCACACACCAAATCCTTAAGATTATCTATTCCCATTTTTCATCAATAAAATTGTCTTCAGACACACAATTTGTGTTTCAACAGTGTCAAAAGAAGTAGTTTGGCAAATGCTTCGTTAGTCCGTTGTTTCTTGAGCACAGTGTGCTGTAACCAAAGCTTACTATCACCCACTCACTTGGCCACCCATGCACACATACTTGCTGTCATGACACTGTCCAGTCAACACATACATCAAAGGTCATGGAAGCTGCATTAGGTAGAAGGGCCCAGGGAACTGGGCCTTATTCCCTCCTACTGTCCAAGCTTTGACAGTATAATGCAATTGCGTAATAACTCAGGGCAAGAAGGCAGTATGCCACACCAGAAACTCAGGTGAAACTTCTCATAGAATTATGTGGCAGTATTCTGCCTACGTGTAAAGTCAGCAAAGGAACACACTGCTGACATTTTAGAGCCCAGAGAAATCTCCCTCACATTCCTACCTCACTCTCACAGGACACAAAGCAGTCTCTTCCGTGGGAGAAATTCTGCTCCTGAGGAAATGACACATTCCCCATAACAGATATACTGAACTACTTTAAACACCAACAAATATTAGGGACCACAAACTCCAAAGTCAGCTCCCTCCTCAGCACATTTTCATTGTCCCAACATAACCACAATAAATGGCTTTTGGAGATCCTGGCTATAAGTCAATGTTTTCAACTGTCTTTCTTTGACATATCTGGGCTGTTTCCCTGTGACTTCATTATCCCTCACTGGAAAGTTGCCCCATTCACCACCAAATCTCAAATCTGCCTGCCGCCAATGCTCCTCTGAGGTCCGTGAAGAACAAAATGCAAACTGATATGGTCTCCAACACCAGGAAGACCAACACAGATGGCCCCTCCCACCTGCATGGAGAATTCTGCTCAGGACAAGAAGATGACAGGAGCTTCAGGCAACAGTCAAAGGGCTACACCTGTCTCTACAACATTTGTCTCCTCAGAAGACTCAGATTCCCTGTATTGTTCACCAGTAAGTGACAGAGCTTAAAAACAGGCACGTGAATGCTTTTTAAAAGTTGTGATCTTGTCAATTTCCCAACATCCTTTGTCCACTTAGTATTAAAAGGTCTTTGAGAAGAAAGCGAACCAGGAAGCATGCATTAGCTAAAACAAGACTTGAGCAAGCTCTACTGATAGTCCTCAGGACATGGTCCAGTTTCACTGTGCTTACCTACCTAGACCCCTGGAATTAAGACTCTTGGGTTCCCATTTCAGTTCCACTGCTAACCAACTGTAATCCTGAGCAATTTATTCCATCTCTCTATCTGGGCTTTTATTTTTAACCTACATAACGGGGATAATAGTATCTTCGGTCCCTGTGAAGAGTAAATGAATACATATAATAGTGTCTGGTACCTGGTAGCTGCTCATAGTAACAGTTATTGTTGCCAGCTAGCCACTGTGTGTCTTTGGATAAGTAATCACCTTCTGTCCTTGAATCTACCTTCATGTGAAAAATGAAATTAATAATATTCTCACCCCCTCAATTACCTTACAGGATTGTTGAAAAGATCAAATAACTCAGTGGCCATGATCAGTTCTTAGGAATGAAGAAACGCATCATAGTAATATTTGTAATATATTACATTTTAATAGGATAATATCATTCTTCAGTCAATGAAAACAGTCTTTTATTTTAAAGGAATTAAAGAGAAAAAGAAGACCCACTCCAGGTTGGCCAGAAGCTCCATCAAAGGTCAAAGTTGAAAGAAAAGTTGGAAGAGAACATGCCAGCTGAATTTTCCATTTTAATCCCACTGGATGAAGAAGCTGGAAGAGAGATAAGGCAATAGGTCTCCATCACCGTGGCTCTACCAAGGGATCTATGTTGGTTCTGAGTGGCACAAGAGTTTACTCTGTGATCAGTTCGGTCTCATTACAAGCGTACTCTAAAATCAGATATGCTTTGCGTACTGCTCATAATTTCAGGCCAATGCAATTTCTGACCCCAATAACCGTCCTAGGAGGATTGGCACATGCTGCTGTCAGAACTGCCCAGTCCCAGTGGCTAGCCAGGCCAAATGACGATTTGGAGTTCTGGCCTCACACAGGCAAGCCATCAGCCCTCCCTGATGGTTGGATTGAACTTTTGGATTGAAACGACCAGTTGTGTAGATGCCAGGCAAGCCTAGATGGAAATAACCAGATGCCAAATGAGGCAGCTCAGTTGATACTCCTAGTCAGTGGCTGACTTCATCTTCCATAAAAATAAGCCCTTCATCTTGATGCCCAGTTAACACAGCATTGACAGTATAATCACCTGTCTCCTCCATGTGCCTCCTCCATCTCTTTCTTCCTAAAGTCCTGTGCATTGAGTGATTGCTCTCCTCTCACATCGGGCAGCAGTTCTATTTCCACAGTGTGTGCATGTGTGTGTGCGTGTGTGTGTGTTATATGTTAGAGAGTAGAGAGAATATATTCTCTCCTTCTTTTCCTCTCTCCTTTCCTCTCCCTCTCTCAGCTAGCTATGAAAAGACATGAGAAAACAGTATAACTATTACACTATTCTATATTAATGGAGAAAACAACACAAAGATAGTGATAGCTGGTACTTATTGAGTTAGCTTTGAGCTTGGCATAATTATCCAACCGAATCCCCAAGTTTAGGAGGAGAGGATTATTAGGCTTCCCTTTGATAGATAACTAGACCAAGGTACAAACTTGACAAATCTCATGTGAAAGTCATTCAGTATCCACATGGGACATGTAGGCTCTGGTAGCACCAGGCTCTGAGCTCAGGATTTTTGTCACAGGGACGATGTATTTCAGCACACTCACATATATGTCTCCATAACTCCATCCATAGTACTCGGTTGGGGATGGGGAGTTAAATCCTCTCAACTGACCAATAAAATGTTACCTTAAGTTCTATGAGTCAGATGGCACCAGCTCTTGGTTTGACCCCATGAATTACGTTTTTACCATGGGACTTAGATGAATATTCTTAGTAGTTCCAGACAAACATCCAGAAATATAATTACCTCTCCCAAGTAGGAAGCAATATCTGTACACATTGAATGTTCTCAATAGATAGGCAGCAACTTGTTGTCTTTGGGAATACAGAGAAGACGGCTCTCCAGGTTTCTGCCTGGATAGGCTGGATAGGAAAGAAACACATCAATGAGTGCTAGTAAATAATTATAGGAACTAGTAAATAATTATAGGAACAATGGCGAGGAAGGCTTGCACTCTAACGACAAAGATGGAACCTAGGCAGAGGGAGAAGTAGTCCGTTTCCCTAAAACCCTGGCATCCTTCGTGGAATTAGAACTGAAGGCTTTGAAATCGAATCCTGAGGTCACCTACTAAACATCACTGAATTAAGTCTAGGGGAATGAGGTAATGCTTGCAAACCAGAGACACGCATGGCGGTCTCTTTATACTCCCAGAGCAAGTTGAAATGAGCTCCAACAAGAACAAGAATTCGGGCCCACTTTGCTACAGTACTGACCACACGGCCAGCTTGTCTCGGGACTCACTCTCATGACGCTGAGTACAATCAGCAAGAGCTCAGACACACAGGCAGGATGAGTACCCCACCAGGAGCCTGATTAAGGAGAAAACCCAAAACCAACTGGCCTGCCAGAACCCAGACACACGTGGGAGACTCCACCAGCTAATGGCATTACCCCCTTTTGAGAGCTCCCCACCCCCACCAATCAACACATTCTTAAAGTAGCCTGGGGCTGCTGAAGCTCCCAATCAGGCCTGGTTTGGACTGTAAATGGCTTGAGACTGCCAGTGCTGGCTAATGTGATTAGGCACAGAACATTAGCCAAATCAAAGGGATAGGGAGGGAGGAGCCAGGAAACCAGAGGTGAAAGGGGGGAAAAACCCACGGATTGCCCAGAGTATAACAGAGTGGGGGAGGGTGGCACTGGGACTGGGGAAAGTCCTCTGGCACTCCAAAGGGAGGGAATTCAAAATTCAAGGAATACCTGAAGCCAAATGATTCATCGCTCAGTCAAACAGCTGGTCAGGCAGGCAGTCAACAACTATCGAATGTCACCTACGTGCACGTGTTCCACAGCACCGACACCTGATCTGGCTTGGTCAGCTCACTTCTCACTTGAGAGCAGTGAGCAGACTCAAAAACAAATGGCGAGGAGCCCTGTGACGAAACTGTCACCAAGCTGGTACACACTTGCATAAAAGATAGTCCTAAGGAAGGAGCAAAGCTGCAAAAATCAAGTCAAAGAACCAATCCTGTGTATCAGTGTAGCAAAGCCATTGGACGGAAACGTTTGGTGGAACACTGGTCTAGATGTTTCTGTGAAGGTGGTGTTTTAGGTCCACTTAATACTTAAGTTATCTGCTGAGCAAAGCTGATTCCCCTCCTCAATTTAAAGCATTGATTGAATCATACTGCAGAGGAAGCAACTCAGCCCCAACACTGAAACATGATGACCACCCGGCTCTCCAGCCTGCACCGATGAGTTTTTGCTTTGCTACTCCTTACACCCATTTCAGCTATCTCTCTAAAACAGCCTCCCTCCTTCCTCCTGTTGCTTCTTTTTCTCTGGAGAACTCTGACATACACACACTGAACATGTCCACCACAGGCAAGGCAGGCCCAATGTCTAGAAACACCTGAAAACCTTGTGTCTCTTAGGATTGAGATGTAACATCAGTACTGGCCAGGGGACTGGAAATTGCAAAGAAGGAGCATACTGCTGAGGGGTGAATTCCGAAGGCCACTTGTGAGCTAGGGAACGTTAAGGGAACTGGGAGAGCAGAAACTGAAGCCTAAGTAGGCATGCCAGGTCCAGACTCCAGCAGCAGGAAAGAGGGGAGGATAAGGCAGATACAAAGATCTTGCCTCTTGGACCCAGACTCACTCCGAATGCAGATATCAATACCATCTCCTGAAGCCCTGGAGAGCTGCTCTGGGAAAAAAATAGCTCTAGAGTCAGCCACAGCCTCTGGCATCTCTTATATATCAGCCTGAGAAGCAAGATTAAGCAGCCACACTGTTTCAAAAGGGTTAACTGCCCCCCCTTCCTGCCTGCAGTGGAAATCTTTCCTAATCATTTCCATTTTTATTCCTCCTGAATTCTCCTGTTCCCCCGCCCCCTTTGTTTTCATGACCTGTGGGAACCTGAACTCCAGCTGGAGGTAGAGTCTGCCTTTATACTTGCAGCAGATATTTAAGCGATTATGCTGTCACTGGGCATCGCCTGGCCTCCTCCATATGGGCTGCTCCCAAGAAAAGCATTTGGTTTCTCCTTTGTTCCCTGGACATCGAGTAAAATTGTTCCAGAAACCATTACCCTTGAGCAGTGGGGCTGGAAGAGGGGGGTAGGTTTGGTCAGGGAGCCTGAGTATCAACCAGGAGGTATACAAAAGTGACTTGGACTGTCAGCCCTCTTGGCTTTGCCCTTCCCATGCAGGACGTGCTGTCACCTCCCACCAGCAGAGTCTTTGGAGGACTCATATACACATTTCAGCTCTGGAAGGACAGAGTTGTAATAAGGAGGTGAACTCTGCCAGTTGACTTGGGCTACAAGTGCATGCTGTCCTCTAGGGCTCTCCTAACCTTGCAGCTATCAGACATCCAGAGAAGGAAGTATAGCCTCATAGAGTGTATCTGATGGTACACCTCAAAGAGCATGTCAGAGAGACCCTCTAATAATAGCTTGTTGTGGCCACTGTAACAAATTACCACAAACCTGATTGCTTAGATGTCAGAAAGATATTCCCTCATGGTTCTAGAAACAGGAAGTTCAAACATGGTAGCACAACTGAACTAAGAAACCATTAGGGTCCAGCAGACAATCTATCTCTTGTCTCTTCCTACCTCATTGGCTACTGGCAGCACCACCTGGGTGTCAGTGGTTGCTACCTCTGTAGTCATGCGGCCCTTTCCTCTCTATGTCAGGTATATCTGCTCCTCTTTTCTGAGGACCCTAGCAATGGCCGTTAGAACATACCTGCATAGTACTGAATCAATTCATCTCAAGAGCCTTCGCTTCATCACACCTGTAAAGACTTTGCCACATGATACAACATCTGCCGGCTCCGGGAATTGGGATGTGAAAGTCTCAGAGAGAGTGTTATTCAGAAATTGTAGCTCCCACGGCCATCTCATGTCTCCTTGTTTCAGAATAAGAAATGGGGTCAGCAAGGGAGGTAAGGGGGTTTTGTTTTCAAATGCCAAATGCCTTTGTATTGAAAGAGAATTCAGGTCTTAGATGAATAGGGGTCAGTTCCTTCCCAGCCACAGAAGTCAAAAGGAAAAAAAAGTAGAAAGGGTGGACCTTAATATCTCATTGTTGGAAGCATGTACTAGAACTAAGCCATGCAGAGGGCTCTGGACTAAATCTAGCAATTATTTTTCCAACGATGTGGCTTTGAACAAGGGCTGAATCTAAGCCTCAATTCCCAAATCCACAAAGTAGATGCAATAATCCCTTCCTTGATGAAGGGTTGTAAAGATGCAGAGTTAGTGTGCCGTACATGCAAGACAATGTGGTCAACATCTTCTAATATGCTCTAATCCTTAATCAGATAAGATTAGTTTATTTCCCAAGTTTATAGATGAGGAGTCTCGTACCTAGAAGAGACATACAGGTCTCCCCTCCCCTCAACAACAGTCTCACATTTATAGAATGCTTCCTGCTTTTGCAAAACCTGTTCACTTCCACCACTGGGTTTGAAATCCTCACCGCAAGGTGGACGTGACCTTGAATGACTTTGGGGAGTCAATGCAACTGCCATGCTAATGCAATAGCTGGTCTTCTGAAAGTGTCTGTGTGCCTGGGCAATTGTAATGAGAACGGCCCCCAGAGGTTCATATGATTAAATGCTGGGGTCCCAGTTGGTTGAACTGTTTTGTAAGGACCAGGAGGTGTGGTCTTAAAGGATATGTCACCAGTGGTGAGCATCGAGGTCTCAAAAGCCCACATAATTCCCAGGAAGCTTTCTCATTGCCTCAGGCTTGTGGGTCAAGGTGTAAGTTCTCAGCTACTGTTCCATTGCTATACCTGCATGCAAGCCTGCTACCATTCCCCATGGCCATGGTCATGGATGTTAGCCTTCTAAACCTGAGCCCCAAGCTAACTCTTTTTCCTACAAGTTGGCTTGGCCATGATGTCTCTTCATAGCAATAGAAAAAGGTAACTATGATTCCCTAATTTCAATGCCATGCCCACTTGACTTTACCCCTGATGTCAGTGCCTCCATGGTTTACATACAAAACTTGTAGAGACAGGGTGGGGGTGGGGATGGGGAGTGGGAGTGGGGTTACCAGACTAGTCAATAGCTTACTCTTCAATCTGCTTTACTACATTGACTCAGCTAAAGTCCTCAGCCTGAAGAGACAGCTAACGTTCATTCTCCTGCTTTTATAAATGAAGGAACTGAGGCCCACTAGGAAACTTCCCAAATTGCCAGATGTATAACTACTAAGAGGGAGGAGCAGGATATGAATCCAGATCTGAAGAGCACTATCCCAGCCCTGCCAAGAATCTTCCATCTCGGAATTGCCAATCCACAACTGTCTATCAAACCCAGCGAAGAAGGAGCTGGGAAGAAGAGCCTGGTGGTAAAATGCTTACCATGCAGCACGATGACCTGAGCTTGGCTCCCCAGCATCCACTTAAAATCAAGTATAGTGACATTCGCCTGTAAACCAAGCCCCAGAGAAGTAGAGACAGATGGACACCACATGCTTGCTGACCAGCTAATCTAGCTAAATTGGCAAGCTCTAGGTTCAATGAGAGACTCTGTCTCAAAAAATGAGAAGACTCACATACAGACCTAATACTTACCTAATGTTGTGACCATTCTCCATAATATAGAACCCAAGACAAAAGTGTAAATAAGTTAGCCTTTATAATGAAAGTCACATTTGAAATATCTATTAGAAACTCTACTAGATGTCTATCCATAATATGTTCATCATTAGCCACACATGTTTGGGGTGTATGTGCATGCCTCACAGACAGTGATAGACCCACTAGGTGGTTTTCTAGAAACCTGACTTCAGGCCTCTTCTGGTTCCCCTACACCATCGAAGAGACTTTGAGTTTAAAATCTGTAAATTAACACCATTCCTGTTCTCTCTTTATTTATCTCCCATCTGACAGTAATAA